CATGTCATCATTGGTACCTGTGAAATTCACGCTGATAGGTGAACCATTCTCGGAAGTACCAGGCTTGGCCGGACCTTCGATTGCAGGGCCAGGAACGGTATAATGGGGTCACATGACAGGCCTCACGGGCGTTTCCTGTGAAAGCAGAGGCATATCAAATGGGCTAAACTTGGGCAATGTGTCATGTTACTTCTCACCATATGGAAAGGACTCGGTGATGACAGCTTCGAGATTCATCACCTCTCTCTCTGATGCAACTGCGCGTGCCAGAGCCTCATCCTTCTCCCGAATGTTGGCAACTGACCTTTTTTAGCTCAGTCTAATCTGCTCCTCATCTTCCTCCTTCATCCGCTGAACATTAATTTTATCAGCGCTGCATTCACCAAGAAGCTTCTGCTGTTGAGCCCGAAAGTCATGATCAGCACTGTGTGTTTGCCATTGCTCGTCCCACTTATCCTGTTCCGCCGGTAAGCTCTTTCTTTGAGTAAATGTAGAACACCGTTTGGTGCTCATATTGAAGTGGTCTTTGCAGCTCGGCAGTGCACAAGTGGCGCATTCTCCAACTTTCGGGTTGAAGCACATCGAGCAACTCTCTTCATCAGCCCATCTCGCGGGCTGTGGCTGCGGCGCAGCCCTTACTTTTAGCATCGGCGGCATCGCGCTCCCCATGGTCGTCGAGCCAGGCTGGGCCTGCGAGGGCGTTGCGCCGGACGGCTGGGCCGTCGGCGATGGTCGTCTACTCGCCCCAGCCGGCTTAGCCGATGGGCACGTATTGTCGCCTAACAGCATACACTGAAGAGATGCTCTGGCGTTTTCATGTACCTCGAGCTCTTCTTGATATTGATTATTCTGATCAACCATCGTCGCAGCTACAATCTGGGTATTGGCCACTTCCAGCCAGGCAGTTTGAAGTTGGGCTTGGAGCTCCTGTCTTTCTTGTTCTGCCCTGGCTGTAGCGGCCCTCTCTCCTTCTGTTCTCGCCGCCGCAACGGCGGCGGATGCGGTCTTGGCATCAATAGACTGACTGGTCGCCATCACAATGGCCTGTCGTTCGGAGACTACCATCTCAGTATATCTGTTCTCGGCTTCTTCTTCCGCGCGCTGCTTGGCAGCCGCGGTTTGATGGGATATATGCCCCATCAGCTCTTGTTCCCGCTGTCTGGCAGCTTGGGCCAGGGCGAGTCTTTCAGCCTCGAACGTCTTCCGGACGTCCTCAATGACTGCATTCACCTCTTCTCGGCCCAGTCGGGCCTGCTCGGCCCTCTGGGCTTCACGGGCCAGAATTTATTGCTGGGTCTTGCCCTCAATAAATCTAGCCTGATCCTGCATAGCTTGGATGAGAAGATATGAGCAATTATGCTCTTCCATCGGAATGCAATCCTCACGCAACCATTGCTTGCCACAATGGGGACACACGTCTGAGCAACTTCTACACACTGGGCGCCTACAGGCTCCATTCGGTCTGTGGGCTTTCTCCCCGGGCATCTGCTTTCCGCCCTGGGCGGGCACATGGGGCCCCAGTTCCAGCATGTCTCGCGCATGGATATTGCACTGTTGCTCCTCGAAGTGGATCGGGCTCCAGATCTCGGCATCTTGGGCCTTCCCCTGCTCGAAGCAGACGATCTGGGACGTGTGCGCGTACTCTCTGGTGGCCTGGCCGCCCCTCGAAGCTCCTCATTCCTGTCGTCTTGTCTAACCAACTCATTCAGCGAAGCCGGGGGGTGAGCATTCCATCATCCTCAACTACAGCGGGTACCGATGGTTGCCAATCGCCTGTGGCGACGGCAGTTCGATAAAACCCTTCCTGAAGCGAGGGACCGTTCAAGTCGCAATCTTCATCCCTATGCTTCTTGAGTTGAGGAGCGGGGGTTCGACCTGTGATCTCCCGGTCGTGCTTCGCATGAGTCTGATACTCCATTTCAACCTCAACCGCCTGGGGCGGCAGGTCACTTATCTCGGTATCTGAGTCTGGTTCTGCAGGCGCTTTCCCAAGGGCTTCCACGTGATCGTAGTCAATTGTCTCCTGCCCAGGGGACCACCTCTCGTCTTGGACGGGGTGGTCTGCGTCAATTATCGATGACAAATCTCGGCTCAATGATGCTTGATAGTTGGCGTATTCAATGTCTTCCTCCATGGAGTTCATGGAGTTCATGTCATCTCCATCATCAAGATGTTCGTCATTATCTTGGCCGGCTTGTCCGTTCAAGGCTATCGGGATGGGGCGAGTCCCTTGAGCGTTTCCCCATCCGTCTGGGACGGCGGGGTACACGCCTCTGGACCCCTCAGCCTCTCGCGACCCACTGGCTTGGCCAGCGGCCGGCGCAATAGTCCGCATGGCAATCGGGCTGGAATGTATTGCATCCGAGGCTTCGGCAACCAATGACGAAAATGCTCCTCGTCTAATATTTGCTGTTGTGCCGTCTCGCTTATTCGGGTCTGGAGTCTGTTCACGATGACCGATCGGAATTCGAGAGGGAGAATCATCTACCGACAATTCGATAACTTCTCCCCTACTCCTTCCCTGAGGGACCCGAGTGGTGATAGAAGAAGAAGGAAGGTGGCCCCTCCCCGGGCCGCTGTCCTGTAGTTATTGCCCGTCGCGTTGTGCAACTTGCGATCCGACGGGCAATTCGGCTGTCTAATCATAGCTCATCCCTGATGCGACTTGGTCGCGGGTTCCGGCTGATAACCAATCTTTCCTCTGAGACTCGGGGCAAGATGACAAAGGAATTAAGGTATCGTGTTGACTCTGCTCAGTATTCGAAGATACGGGATGAGACATCGATGAAACTACAAATAACCGTTAAGCAACTGCACTCAAGTATGGGAAGAGAGGAGGTCCGGCCGGCCGACGACCGACGACGTGCGGCGGACGACGGCTAGCGCGCTCCTTGTCTAACCTGAGAGCAAATACAGCTGCGGAGTGGTACCGCAGAGTCAAGGTGTGGCAATGCAGGCAGCAAGAGAGGCAAGTGCAGTATGAAGCGGAGAGGATCATATTTACGCTTCCCGTTATCCGACGGGCGCGAGCCGCGAAGGTACGTACCTTGAGCCATTCCCCTCCTGGACCTCCCCAGTTGATAATATTCCCGTCAAGGTCTGAAAAACTGTCTATCGTGCGACTCTTCGAGTCTGAGCGCGAGTTCCAGGATGGAACGGGCAAGCATTAGTTAGAGAAAACTACCACTTCAGAATAATCGATCTACGCCGGAGGCGCTTCCCGTCACCCGCCACCTTGCCACGGGGCACGAGTTGGAGTGCCCTCAGGTCACTTGTAATCCTCAGCCCTCAGGATTGAATATCCAGATTCCAAAACTTTCCAAGGTTCTCGGCGTGCCTCCCGCGCTTACCCAGCGCTTCCCGCATGATCGTTGTCGGGGCCACGGGCGCCCCAAAACAGGCCAAGAGGGCCCCGAGAGGCCTCTCACCTGCAACCTGAGCGCGGTGGCGGGATGGGCCGGCCGAAGGCCAGCACATCCGCCGACCCCTGTTGACTTATCAAAATCGGGGATGGACAGACCCCCCTTTAGTAAAACGTGGTTTAGTGAAAACGACCTGAGGCCCAAACCTGGCGGGCGCAAGCTTGGAAAATCACGGCCACGGCGCCCTCTCGAGAACCGAAAACGGACAATTCACGAATCGACGTGTCACTGTTGGGGGTTCTGTCCACCCCCGACAAAGGGATGCCTGGCGTGCTGGACGTCTGACTTGTTTTTCGTTTCTAAAGGACTCCCAGGGAGGTCTCGGCCCAGCCCGCCGGCCACCCGAGGAGCCCGTAGACTACCCCCAAATCTCTCCAAGACGGCCTTGGTGGTCTCTAAGACGGCCAAGATGGCCCAAAATGGCCCCCAAGATGCCTCCCAAGACGGCCAAGATGGCCCCAAGAGAGTCCAAGATAGCCACAAGATGGCCTCGACGACGGTCCCAAAATGCCTCCAAGACCGCCAGGATGGTCCAAGGAAGCCCAAGGCGGCCCAAGAAACGCCAAAAAGGCCCCTAAGACGGCCAAGAGGCCTCCAAGAGGTCCTCCATGAAGGCCCGAGCTGAAATCAGATCGATTATCCATAGGTGATTTAAGGATTTTGGAACTTGCTTCGAAACGGCCTTCCGACGGCCCAAGACGGCCCAAGAGGCCACCAAAATCGCCGCAAGATCGCCCAAGATGTCTCCAAAATGGCCGCAGGACGGCCCAGGATGCTCCCAAGACGGCCCCAACAGAACCCCGAGACGGCCCAAGAGGCCTCCAAAACACCCAAGATGGCCTTCAAGACGACTTCCGACGGCGTCAGACGGGCCACGAACGCCGTCAGACTGCCAAAGAAGACTCCAAAATGCTCCCAAAGGCTCCCAAGAGGCCAGGAGGCCCCTAAGAGGCCTCCAAGAGGCGCCCAGGATGCTCCCAGGAGGCCCCAAAAATGACCCAAGAAGCTCCCAAGAAGTCTTCCTCTTCCTCCCCCACGTGTTCCCCGAAGGGCTTCCACAACGGCTGGGGGAACGCATGGTCCAATAGCGTGGCCAAACTTTGCCCACACGTTTGGCCACATAGGCGCATTTTAAAATGCAGGGGTCGGCGGTGATTCGCCGTAGGCGTTCGATAAGAAAGGAGGGAGGATCAGAGAGGAGGGAGGATCAGGGATAAGGGAAAGGCGGCCTGGGAGGAAGGAGGCGAGAGGAGGGAGAAACGGGAAGGGGGGAGGTGGCGGGAGAGAGAGGAGCAGGAGAAGGTAAGGCAGAGGGAAGGCGGAGGAGGAGGGAGGAGAGGAGACGACGACGACGACGACGACGACGTCGACGACGACGGCGACGACGACGACGACGTCGACGACGACGGCGACGACGACGACGACGACGACGACGGCGACGGCGACGGCGACGACAACGACGGCGGTGGCGGCGACGGCGACGGCGACGGCGACGACGGCGACGGCGGCGACGGCGACGGCGACGGCGACGGCGGCGGCGGCGTTCCCCTGGTGTTGCCTGCCCCGCACGGCGGGAAGCACGCCCAGGCCACGGACGCTCAGCGGCGGGGCCCGGAGGGCGCGACGCCCCTCGCCGGCAGCTCCGGGGCACGAGGGCGCGGAGGGGAGGCCGAGAGGAGGTCCGAGCACGGCGCCTGCCGGTGGCGCGCCGTGTGCCGGCGCATGCAGAGGATTAGAAGTGCCGGCCTCGCGCAGAGGCGCGGCCCTGGGCGCGGAGAGGCGGCAGGCGCGCCCAAGGGAGCAGGGGAGAGCAGGAGCCGCCCTTGGCCTCCCGGCGATCCGCCGGCCCCCGCCCGCGCGCGAGGCACCTTCCCGGGGGGTCGAGCTCTGCGTGGCTCCGAGCTGGGATGCCCTCCATGACGAACGGACAGCACACACTCATACCCATAGGGGGGTCGTTGGGAGGAGGAAAGGCTATGGGTATGGGTGTGGGTTGTCGGACCCTGGGGAACGCTCCCGTTCGAGCGGGGACCCCCATCCGACAACACGCACCCATAGCCCTCTCCGACCCCCCAATGGATATGGGCGTGTGTTGTTTGTTCGTCACTCGAGCGCGGCACGAAACACAGTCGACCCGTACAATGAGGATATGCGCGGTAAGGGTGCAGGGGTCTCGGAGCGCCACGGTTAACGTTCTTCGAGCGAGGCTGGCCAGCCGAAGCGGCCAAGGGTGGACCGAGGAGGCAAGGATGCAAGGGTACCCTTGGGGAGGTTGCCCCTCCTTACTATGCGCGTTGACTGTACACCTACAGTCGGAGAACACGGAGCGAGGCCCCTCGCTTCTGTAAAGGAAATATCTCTGTCTCCCATAGAGAACCTATGGAACATCCAAGACAAGCTGCAAGGCAGTTCAGGAGCACTGAGCCCCTTCCAGACGAAAAGGGCTCCTTCCTCAGCGGCCCGACTGGGACACACAAATAAATACACACAAATAACAGGATTCCCCATATTTTCTGGGTTTTGTCTTCCCCCCCACTTCCCATAGTTTCTTATATTTTCTGGGGAATCGACGAGTAAGTGTGTCTGTGTGTTTTTTTCCCTCCTGAAGAAGAGGGTGGGGCGAGGCGGGCGGTTATCTGAGATGGCAGGGAGCTTCTAAGAGGGGATCGGCTCCTCTCGGCCCCCCAGCAGAGCACCCTGATGCCGCCGGACCGAAGACAGAATCACGCCCTTCAAGAACACGAGGCCGCCCCCTGCCGGCCAAACTGAAGAGCATTCGCGCGTACCCCCTCCCAGGATGCACGAGGACATCCAACAACCCCGAAGAACAGCAGGGCACCCTCCCCGAACCGCCCTCGGTCGTACACCTCGGCCCGACCGCAGCAGCCATGAGGCGAAGAGGCGGATCGAGGCGCAGGACGGGCACGGGCGGGAAGCCCCAGGCGAACGAAGAGATGCGGCCAGGGCAGGGGTGAGCGCATGACGACGTGCACCGCAGCACACTTGCTGCGAGGACCACTTGGTGACGCCCCGGCCGAAACACTTTTTGGTCTGCGGGGCGAGAGCAAACCTCTTCCGCTAAAAGCTAGTCGGGCTGCGCACAGCTTATCATCCTGGAACCTATCCCTATCCCTATGCTGGGCATCGTCTCATCACTGTGGCGATCTTAGGGGTTCCCTCAGTTCCTGAGGGTGCATCCCTGAGATCGTCATCGCCTTTGGGCGTGTTAATCTTAGGGATAGGGATACGTTCGAGGCTGGTTCACAGCTTCGATTCGGGAGACAGCCCCGGCCGAGACGCGCAGCCCGCACTCGGGCGAGCGCGCGCCTCCCGAGGGAACCGCGAGAGGCCTCGGGCGAAGCGGCTGCCGGACCGGGCGGACCACCGGGCTCCCCGTCCCCTCCCCCCCCCCCGCCCCTGTGGGAATGCTCCGTGGTCACTCCTTGCCTCTTTTATTTTCTTCTAGCACCACGGTCGGCGCGTGGACCTAAGGAACCCTGAATAAGGAACGAGGCCCCTTTTGTCCAGAATTGAACTTCGACTTCCCCTCGAAGCGTAGGGAAAACCGGAGGCAACCTGCGAAACAGCTGAGGAACAGTGAGCCCCTCCCAAACGAAAAGGGTTCCTTCTTCAGCGCCCCGACTGCATCTTGGGAGGAGAAGGAGGACAGCTGGGGGGAATGATCGCGCGACGAGAGCCGGCCGCAGCGCAAAGGTGGAGGCAGAAACCTGCAATGGCCCCGGACTCGGGCAGAGGGGGGAGAGAGGAAGGGGGGGAGAAGAGCACACTCCCTGCCTCTGTTGCCGCCCCCCACAGCGAAACGCCACTGGGGAGAGAGGCCTCGTCTGGCCCTTCGGGTCACGGCTCGGGCCTCAGGCGGCCGTTCGGGGCGACTCCGGCACCCCCTGGAACGCTCTCGGCGAGGCGCAGCTGCTGGGAAGCATCCCCGGGCTGGAAGCCCGCCGCGAACCGTGCAGGTCACCCGAAACAACGAGCGCAGTCGTGAGAAGTTGGCAAAGCTGTAGGCCAATGCGTAGGCTTCAGCGGACTCTGATGCAGGAAGAGGAGGAGGAGGAGGAGGAGGAGGAGGAGGAGGAGGAGGAGGAGGAGGAGGAGGAGGAGGAGGAGGAGGAGGAGGAGGAGGAGGAGGAGAGGAGGGAGGAGGAGGAGGAGGAGGAGGAGGAGGAGGAGGAGGGATGAGATCACCCGAAAACCTCGAGCCTCGAACCTGAAGCCTCTGACGCTGCCTCCTAACAGAGGAGAATCCCCGCCCCCTTCTGAGAAGCCGAGGGGCAACGGTCGGGGGGGGGGACCAACTCGGGGGGGACCCCAAACGGGGTGGTGACCACACCGTGCGGTGAGTCGGTGGGGATTCGGGGTCACCGCACGGTTTTGGGACTCGGGTCGTTCTCCGAGGACGTCTCGGGCGACTGGGGCCTCCGAGGTCCCAAAACCGTGCGCTGACGGACCGAGCGGTGAGGTCTTGGGGGATTTCGAAGACACCGCGCGGTCTGTCACCGCACCGTTTCGGGAACTCAAGGGGGGAGGAACATCAAGCCGGAGTGGTCGATACATCGCCGATGGATCGGCGATAGGCCCAATTCGTGATTTCCTGAATGGGGTGGGCTAGCAAGCCCCTGGGGTCGATGCATCCCCTCCTGGGCATGTCCCCCCTATCGTTGCCCCTGAGAAGCGGGGCTAGGAAGAGCCAAGAAGATTCCGTGCAGGCCCCGCTACAACGCGGTACGGTACACAGTTTCGTCTGGCGTTGGGGGCCGGAAAATTGTGCACCGCACCACTCCTGGGTCCAGGATCGAAGACGCCTCGGGAGACGCTGACGTGGCACGGTGCACACAAGTCGCTCGCGGACCAAAGCCAACGCTCCCTCCCCCAGGTGGCGATACCCGAAACTTACCCCCACCAACCCAGTGGGAGGCGGGGGTGGGGTTCGGATTTCGCCACGTCCTGCGACGAATCCCCACCTTGCCCCGCCGCCCATCGAGTTGCCTGAATCGTTGATCGGCGAGGGTAGGGATTGGACTTCGCAGCCGATCCCCCCCCCCCGCGGGCGCCGCCGCCGAGCGCCAGACCGCCCGACGCCGCGCGGAGGCGCCGCAGACGAGCGCGCAGGCACGGGGCCCAGCGGCCGTGGAAGGTCAGCACTGCGGGGCCCCTGGGGGGCATCAGCGGCTGGCGCCGGCAGACCCAGGGGCGCCGCTCCCGGCCGGCTCCCTGCTGAGCATCTGCTCCTCGGGGTCGGGGGGGGGGAACTCCCCAGGGAGTCTCCGAAGAGCCTTTCGAGGAGACCCATGAGGAGCCTCTGAGGAACCCCAGAGGGAGCCTCCAAGGAGCATCTAAGAGGCCTCTCAGGAGCCTCTGAGGGGCCTCCAGCGGGCTGCTCAAAAATGAACTAGCTTACACTCGTGCTTGAGCAGTTTGCCTAACAAGAACCCAACATACAGGGAAAGGACCCAGCTTACTTGGACAAATTATATTTTCAGGCGGGCGAGGGGGCGGCTCGAGATCAAGGACGCTCCAGGAGGCGGCGGCGGCGACGGGCGTCTGGTGGAGGAGGAACAGACACATGGAGGAGGAGGAGGAGGAGGAGGAGGAGGAGGAGGAGGAGGAGGAGGAGGAGGAGGAGGAGGAGGAGGAGGAGGAGCAGGAGGGGGAGGAAGGAGGAGGAGGAGGAGGAGGAAGAGGAGCAGAAGGAGGCAGGGGAAGGATGAGGAGGAGGCAGGAGGCAGGGGGAGAAGGAGGATAATCCTGGAGCGCAGCGAATCCCTAGGAGACGCAAGACCTCGAGGATCGGAAATCCCAGCGTTATTCCTGGATCCCAGCCTTCAGGGCCAGTGGTCATTCGTTCCTACAATCAACATCACGAAACATCTGCCACCTTTGCGGCCATGGCTATGCAACGGCAGAATGAGCATGTCACGAAATACCTCTTGGACGTGGCGTCCGTGCCCAGAGTCAGCGTTGCAGAAAATGGCATGCGCTCGATAAAGAAGGAAATGTTGCTGCAGTCTCAACTCTGACATTTCACAAGCTTCGCTGATGAATCGCATCGCAGTTTACGTGTCGGGCCCATCTCCAAAGCCCAAGCAAACTCTATCTCCAGGGAGAACTGTCGGGGCTTGAGGCAGCCAAAAGCTGATCAGGGACAGCCAGAAAACTACCCCTGGGGAAGGTGTCGGGACTGGTGGGGCCACATATTGAAACAAATCACATTGCGCTGACTTGTCGAGGCGGTCGCTTGCGTGTCTGCTCTAGAGGCGGTCCCAGTGTCCTGGTTTCCTGAGCCCCGCTGGAGCTTGAGGCCACAGTGCCTCCCACGCCTCCAGGGTCCTGGGCGACAGGTTTCAGGACGGAGACGTCTGCGATCGAGGCTTTTGGACCGTTTCTGGCTGGACTCCCCTCCAAATTCTGCCCCAAATGCACACGCAGACAGGTCGTGGGGGGCGGCTTTCGAAGGGATGAAATTCAAAACGTTTTCGAGCTTCGGGTTTGGGCTAGGGCCACAAGAAAAAGAGTAGGGGGATCGTCGTCGTCGTCGTTACCGTCGTCCCCGCTGTCGTCGTCACCCTTTAATCGTTCGTTCGGGGCTGGTATCGTCATCATCGTGGTCGCGACCGTCGCCAGTCATCACTCTATGTCGTCATTTTCGTCGCCGTCATCGCCGTCGCCGTCAGCCATTGTCGGCCGTCGTGCGTCATTGCTCGTTGCCGTGCGGTGGAGAAAGACAGGATGGGGCAATGAAGAGGGAGGAGGGCGGCCACGGCGGTCGGGACGGCGGGGGAAGAGGGGGCGAGGAGTCGAGGAGCGGAACGCGGGGGGGGAGCTACAGACAAGAGGGCAGATACAGACCGGCGCACAACGCTGGGGTGCGTTATCTTGAGGGCGACGGAAAAGAAACAACATCATCGCTAGAAATACAGTCAACCACTAGAGTAAAGATGCGCGATAAGGATGCAAGGGCCTTGGACGCCCATTTCGAAGCGTTTCGAGCGGGGCGCAGCCAACGAAAGTGGCCACGGATGG